ATGGCAAGCAGAATGTGAAAGGGGAGGCTCAGAGTCCTAGGGTCACGTTGTAGATCATTTCTCCCAGTAAGCCAACTTTAGGTTCCACCTCATAAAGGTTCCACCACCTCTTAACAGTGTTACTGGCTGTCTTCCAAGTCTTTAACACATGAGAGTCTGTGGGACAGTCATCCAAAGCAGGAGGAAGCAGTATGTTTACTCTGATACCAGATAAGGAGCTAAACTTTACCAGGAATGAAAAGCCACCAATATGGATTGGGGAATAAATATACAGAATCCTTTCTTCCTTTAGAGCACACTGTTTTCTCTGTCCTGTAATAAGCTTGCTTAGTGTTTATTTATTATTTTAGAATTATGTAGTAGTGCCCACACCTGGCACTTCACATTTTGGAACTTTGGGTAACTACAATATTAAATTTTTCTTTACTGATCTGACTTGCCTCTGATCTATCTGCAGAAAATGTCTTCTCAATTGAGCACTTGTTCTTCTCTTTTTATATTGAAGCTATTTTTAGTGAAGTATGTTTTATAACTTGAGCTTAGCATTCTCTATGCAGGGCTTTCATTGCATACTGTAAGAGTGGATTTTTTTTCTAGTCCAGACACATGAGTAATAAAATAAATACATTTTGAAATACAGGAAGATGAGCAAGCAGTGGTCACAGTGAGTGAGGTAGACATGTGTATATGGGCCTTGAAATTCTCTTGCTTTCCTTCATAGACTATTATTCTGTACCAATAAAAACAAAAAGAAAAGGAAATGTTAGAAATTATTAGAGATTTGAATGAGAATTTATTTAAATCATTCAGGGAATGGAAATAAATCCTATGTTCATTCATTAACTTGATTAAAAAATATCTTAAGGACTTTGCAGAACTTTGATGGGGGCACTTAATATATGATGAGCTACATAAAGATTGAAAGTAAGAAGTATATTCAGAATTGTTCCCATGGAAATCATGGGTCTTCGTTAGTCTCAAATATTGGCTGTATTTTCTGGATGACAAATTATCTAAAATAATTATGAGTGCTTCCAAATAATTTTAAAGCAACTAAAAAATTCTGAAGGAAAATGATTTCTTCAGTATAGGATATTTTTCTATGTCTAATGTTTCATCATTTGATATTAATAATTTTTTCGATAGACACTAATAACAGTGGGTTCTATGTGACAAGAGCAAATTTTCATTGCAAGTGAGAACATATATTATGATCAGACACAAGGTACTTGAATTGAAGATAACCACTCTATTAAAATAAAAATAATGAAAATGATATTAGAAGAGAAAAACATGTCAAGTAGATGCAAATGATAAAATATATATTAATTTTCAATTTTTTCTCTTAACTGCTTATTCTCCTGAAGATTTAATATCTGAATCTTTAGACCTAAACTATGTGCTATAGCTAACTGGGTGACATGATTTGGAATCAGCATGAGTAATTTGGCTTGCTTTTATTTGAACCTTATCCTATAATCAAATAAATAGAAAATCACACATGCTCTAACTAACAGAAAGAAGCTGGATATTGAGCTACTGTGTGGAGGGGGTATAAGTAACACCATTGTGCATTGAGACTGAGTAAATAAGTCAACAGAAGTGTAGCTTAAAACACTGTTGACCAGAATGTTGGTATCTCCTTGAGAGGCAAAGCTAAAAGTAGGTGTGATTTGGAAGAGAGGTTTCCAGAGAAGTTGAGCTTGTATTGGGTTACAGGTCTGGATGATGTGTCTTTTGATGAGCTTGTCTCTTCAGGCTCTTCACTGATGTTTCATTGTAATCATCCCTATCGTGTGGGTATTTTCTTGGCTTACTTCTGGACTGGAAGATCAGCTAGCAGTCATCCAATATTAGTTGTATAGCCTGGTTAACAAGACTGGTTAGATAAATGCAAAAACAAAACCCATGCAAAATAAAACAAGCCATATATTAAAAAGTAATCTAAAATGGCCTGACACCCATTACAGAGCATTGAGCTAAGTGTGGTTCTACCCTGGGGGAGGGGACGGCTCTGTGAACTGCATTTATTGCATGTCCAAAAGATGGCCTGGAAACAGTATTATAATTTATTTATTTATTTGATTATTGTACCTTTAAAATAAGTATATTAAGCATCTATTATGTTGTGACTATATAATAAGGGCTAGAAACAGAGAAAGCAAGAAACAAAGCTCTGGTCTTTACAGATATTTCATGTGTGTAGTAAGTAGAATGTGAGGATAGGCTCATGGCCCTAATCTATTTTTATTTATTTATTTATTTTTAATTTTATTTTTTTCTTATCAGTTACATTTTGTTAACTCTGTATTCCAGCCGTGTCCCGATCCCTCATTCCCTCCCGGTCCCTCCCTATACTTCACGGTCAGTAATGAACTTTAACATCAAATTTATATGACATTACTAGGATATGAACAATATTGTCTGCTTCCACATTTCTTTCTCTTTCATTCATCCTTGAATTGTGTCATCCTATAAGCAAAATAAAACCCATGTGTTGTCTCTGGAGGGATCTACTGTTACTTATTTAGCCACTTGATATCTGATCATATGTTTCTCTTGTTCCTTGGGATCCCTTGTGCAGAGTTTAATTAGAAATGCAACATGTTCATTTGGGTTTTAGTTCCTAGGTTCCAAAGAGTATTTACATAATCATTAGGGGTTTTCTGAGCACTTGATCTGGGTTTGGCATGGGGCTAGCTACTGCAAAATTCACTCATTAAATAAAAAGTTTCCCAAGACCTGGTAGAGATGGTATAACAGAGTCCACATGAGAATATCATTCAGAAGTGGTGATACTCACATTGGCCATTGGTCCCATACGAAGGTCAGTTTACGTTGGTGTCGTCTACCGTTCTCACACCCAGCCTTCCAAACAATGAAATGATTTTCATTACTAAAAGAGAAAGAAAGAAAAAGTGAGGGGGAAGGGAGGAAGGAAGGAAAGAAAGAGGGAAGGAAGGAAGGAAAAAAGGAAGGAAGGAAAAAAGGAAGGAAGGAAAGAAGGAAGGAAGAAAGGAAGGAAGGAAGGAAAAAAGGAAGAAAGGAAGGAAGGAAAAAAGGAAGGAAGGAAGGAAGGAAAGAAGGAAGGAAGGAAAGAAGGAAGGGAGGGAGGAAGGAAAAAGGAAGGAAGGAAGGAAGGAAAGAAAGAAAGAAAGAAAGAAAGAAAGAAAGAAAGAAAGAAAGAAAGAAAGAAAGAAAGAAAAAAACAAAACAAAGAACAAGATAGGAGCCTATCACAGAGGACCTCTAAAAGACTTTACTCAGCAGCGTATCAAAGCAGATGCTGAGACTCATAGCCAAACTTTGGGCAGAATGCAGGGAATCTTATGAAAGAATGGGGAGATAAAAAGACCTGGAGGGGACAGGAGCTCCACAAGGAGAGCAACAGAATAAAAAAAAATCTGTGCACAGGGGTCTTTTCTGAGACTGATATTGCAACCAAGGACCATGCATGGAGATAACCTAGAACCCCTGCACAGATGTAACCCATGGCAGCTCAGTCTCCAAGTGGACTCCCTAGTTAGGGGAACAGGGGCTGTCTCTGACATGAACTCAGTGGCTGGCTCTTTGCTCACCTCCCTGAGGGGGTACAACCTTACCAGACCACAGTGGAAGACTATGCAGCCAGTCCTGATGTGACCTGATAGGCTAGGGTCAGATGGAAGGGAAGGAGGACCTCCCCTATCAGTGGACTGGGGAAGGGGCATGGGAGGAGAAAAGGGAGAGAAGGCAGGACTGGTAGGGGATGAGGAGGGGGCTACAGCTGGGATACAAAGTGACTAAATTGTAATAAATTAAAAAAAATATTTTTTAAAAGTTAAAATTAAGAAACAAAAACCAATTTTCTTGAGGCCTCACAGCTAGCAGGTGCCAAAGAAAGTATTGCAGACAAAGTGCTAAATAGAACATCTTTCTGAATTAGCTGAATTATCTGAAAATGTTCTCCTACCTACCTGCTTTGTCTGAGAATTATCTATCTCCCTCTTACCCAGTCTGTGGCCCTGAAACCATGTTTGTAAGGGGAGACTTCACATACTTTAGTTGTTTTAAGTAAATGCATACAGCTGGTCAAACCTGAACACATTCAATTGCTTTTCTTAGAAATCTAAAATCAGGAATGATATTGGTTTTCTCAGATGTATTTGTGGACAAGGCCTGGAGATTTCTTGATTGTTTTTCTGAATTTTGTAGAAAAGTGAACATAGGGTAATAGTAAAATAATAAAGAAAATGGGAGGAGGGTAGAGAGAGAGAATGAGAGAGATAATAGATGATAGAGATACATAACACCTTGCTAGAAAATAACAGAGACAAAAGGGTAAGAGCACAGGGATAAAGGAATAAAGAAGCACATAAGAAGAACAGACTCACAAGTGTAAAGCATGGAGAGACTAGACGGACATGTGTAACACAGCGAACAAGAGCAAGTAGGGTGGCAGACAGAACGAGTGGAAGAGGTGGGATGGAGAAGGGAAGGAGTCAAGGAGATGGATGGAGGGGGAAATGTGTCTTCACAAGATACACATCTTTTGTGACTGTCTCATGTCAACAGTCAAGAACTTGTTTCCACATTCTCAGCATTACCATCCTCTATCACTGCTTCACATCTTTAATTCATCATGTCTCACTGGTGTCTTTATGCTTCTCTTTCTTTTTTCTATATTTTTATGTTCCTTGATAAGGCTGCACAGCTGGTATTTATTTGGGTTTCCTTTTATAACTTCAAAAATATTTAGTCATGTTTATCACAGTGAGAATTTGGAGACAACTTATGTATACATTTATAAATATACACTTTGAAATGGATTTATAAAGGACACTTTACATTAATAAAATAATTCATTCCTTTGCAACAGTTTCTTCCTCCAGTTCAAAAGGGAAGTTGTTTTATGAAAGCAACATTCAGGAAAATGTTATTAAAAAGTTACATGCTGGATGTTTCTGTAAACTCTTTAGTTTCTATGGAAATAAATAAGTAAAATTTAATTTTCTTTTCAGGTACGGCAAGCTTGAAAGGATTCCTATTACACTGTCAGCTGCAGCCATGGACGCCTCTTGCCAGGGAGCATCATCTAGCTTGTATTTCTGTTTCGGAAATTGCTATGCTTGATGCTTGACGCTTGTGAGTGCATTGTCTTCAGTAAAGGAAATGCACAACTCCCCTGAGATACTGGGAGTATATCTCTTAACTAACAGAAAGTTCACAGCAGGTCTTTATTCACCCCAGAAGCTCCATCGTTGCAAAGCTTAGGATACTATTAACTGTTCCTTCTGCCCTGCCTTGCACCTTTGCAAGCACTTCACATTTATACCTTGTTTAGCAAACATCTTAGTGATCAAGTCATTGTTAGATGTGTTTTACTCTGGTCAATGGGTCTGCTTTAGAATAAACAATTTGTTAAAACTGTTCAAAGTATCCAGTGAAAGCATCAACTCTTTATGGGAGAACAAGAAGGTCACCACGCTTATAAGGAGTGAAGTAATTCTGTGCATATTAAAGCTTTTCTTGGTGTCACATGTCAAAATAACTTGAAATTTTCTTCTGTTGGAAATCATTCTGAAGCAAAGCTAACCATCTTTATGCAAACAAAAGATAAATCCAAGTAGTTCCACAGAAATGAGGAGAAGAAAAATGACTCATGATTGGCAGTTTTAAAAGCCTCAGATTTCTTTGTGCCTAAACCCAAATACCCTTATATGGAACCATTATTGTCTGTTACTTATTAGTCTTTGGGTTGTAAGAGTTAGTTATACTTTGGGGCTTACCTTTGACCACAAAATGTTGTTGTCCTATGTTTTGCTTCCATTAGGCAATATATATTAAATATTGGCCTTTCACTTTTTGAAAGAATTACAATAAGTGTTAATATCAAAACTAATTTGCTGTCTAAATTTCCTAAATAAAGTAATTATTAAAAATATTTAGAATCTACTTGTTCCTGCTTTTTCTCACCCACCCATCCTCTTTCTTCTCTCTTTTCCTCTCTCCCAAAATAGTGCGACCATGTTCAGGAAGGACTAAAGTTATAAATAAATGAGGCAATTATTAAAGGCAGATGTGAAGATAGAAAAAAATGTTCCAGTAATAAGATGGAGCTTTATTTTATCATGTTTTCATGTTTTTATTACAGTGAACAACTTTTGAAAGTTGAAGACTTAATATTTCTTATATGGCAAGACCATCACTCAGCTACTGTCTCTATGAACTAAATAGACGGTCTTCTATCTGTCGAAATTCTCACCTTGTTCAATGTCCTGTTAACCTTATGGTCCCTACAAAACCCACATGATGGCTACTTCTGCTACTTGCCTGAACTCTCTGTAATGTGGTATCCACTCAGGAATAATCACTTACTTCCAGCAAGGTTATGATTATTAAGCATTATAGTGATCATGTTACCTGTTGATATCATGATTACCTTTTCTGTACTAGAACCTATGATCTGTCATGCGGTTGAAACTTAGTGTTTCTTAGTATACAGAATTCATTACATAAATCACGACTTTGTCATGTTATAGGAAACATTGTGTTTATTAAGACTTATGTTGGGGCTGGAGAGATTCCTCTGTGATTAAGAGCACTGGCTCTCTTTGGGAGGACTGGAGTTCAATTCTCAGTGCTTACAAGGCAGCTGTCTGTAACCCCATTTCCAAGAAATCTAATGCCCTCTTAGGCCTCCATGGCACCAAGCATTCACACGGCACACAGACATACATTTATTCACATAATAAAATAAACAAAAAATATTTAAAAGGAATTATGTGGGAAATATTTCTAATGTATTATGAAATGACTATAGGTAATACAACATGCTTACATTTGTCTACGTATACACACAAAAAAAAGAGTGTGGAAAGATATTCTAAATTCTTATCATGAATATTTCTTTGTAATGGTAGTATAAATTATTTTATTTTTAATTGTTCTTTTAAGCAGTTAAAAATGTCTCAGTGCTTCCCTGGTCCTTGAGAATGGTGGTTTCAGCAGTCTTATTTGATGGTCATCTTTTATACCTATGTCAGCCCTGATGTTGAAGTATTTAGGTATGACAATTATTACTAAGGCCCAGAAGCCCTTTGTACAAATGAATGCTGCTTTGCATTCTGTTTAGCATTCTGGTTTTGAATAGAAACCAAATTACAAGAGACCCCAAGGGCATTTCCATAAGATCACAGTTCTATCTGTAGATAAAATGCAAAAAGACAAGATAGAGAAGGAGGTGGGAAAGGCCATGGCAAACACTCAGATGTTTAATGCTTTTTTGATGTTTTAAGCTTTACGTGTGCCTTATAAAAGATACCACTGTACATAGTATCAGTCCTAGCCTTTTATGTTGTGCTACTATTTGGACTGTTTTTTTTTTTTTTTCTTTTTTTTTTTTTGTTTTGTTTTTTGTTTTTAATGAAAACTGTGTCCTTGCCATTTCAGAAGATTAATGCCCACAGATCTAATTATTGTGCTGTTGTTCTCTGGTGGTTTCTTTGTTTTCACATTATAATTATGGATCACATTAATTGCTCATCCAACTACCATTTCTCCTTTTTATTTTTATTATTTTATATATTTCAAATACCCTTTGTAACTTCCCCGTCTTCTACACAGTGGATCTATTTCACTGCAGTGCAGCAGTCACAGCCATTGGTCTTTTGCAAAGTGCTGCACAGTGAGAGCTGTTAGTGGAACATCCACACTGCCGTTTCAGGCTGCCTTGAGTGCAGGTGTCAATTTAACTCTCCACTAAACACTCCTTGCCACAGCAGCCTGTTTGCTGCTTCAGAGTTACCATAATTTGGAGCTGTATTCGTTGCTCCCCTTAGCAACCGAATGTTCCATCACAGCAAATTGATGGCTGTAAAACTGACCTTTATGATAGCCTTTTTATTTAGTTACCTCAGAAGGATTTACAGTATTATATTTTGTTGCCACATTGACTACTAATAGGAACTATAAAAGAATGATTCCATCTAACATATTCTTTTTATTTTCTGAAAGCCTTGGCAGTATTTACCAACAAGACTTTCACATTTGAAGATCTCCTTTTGGATAGTTCAAGGGGAGTTTTATGAAACCAAATCTTCTTACTTATGTGAGGTACATATCCTGCTATCTAGTGTCAAAATAATGAAGTGCTTCTTATGAATTTGGCTGCCTAAAATGACAAATGATTGTATGCAGAATACTGAAAAAAAAAATTCTGTGGGGGAAATCCAAACTACAAAGTAATTCACATCACCTCATCTGTAAATAATGAGAATTTAATGAGTGTCATATTAAAAAACTCTCTCATTTTTAGTGTCACAACACAGATTTTCACAGTACCTGGCTCTTCCCTGCTTCCTCTGGAGAGGGTCTACAGATAAAGGTAACATCTTCTGTCCGGAAGGGAAGGGCCTAAGGAGCAAGCTTCGTTTGTAAGCCCAGTCTACAAAGGCAGCTCTCTAAAGTGTTCTAACCAGAGAAAGGATTGTTCCTGGAGGCCTGGGCATGGGTGCGTGTACCCGGGCGCTGTGACTAATGGGTCGGTGGAGGTATCTGAACTCATTGCAGGCAGCACAGCTGAAGACAATGACCTGGCCCGTTATAGAGGCCTACCCATGAAAAAAGTTGGGAGCACAGGACAGAAGAGGGCCCACTGTGTTTTACAGCTCTGGCTCCACTAATAAAATTGTGTTGCCATTAGTTAGCAATGTGCTCATTATCCAAAACTTTATCAAGTTTCAACATGAGACTTAAAACAAACAAAAAACAACTTAAGAGCCCGTCTGCCTCTTTCCATGAGAGCAGTGTAGTTTTTTTTTTTTTAATTTATTTTTTTTATTTTTCTTTTTAGTTACATTTTGTTAACTCTGTGTCCCAGCTGTATCCCGCTCCCTCATTCCCTCCCAACCCCACACTCCCTCCCTGGTCTCCTCCCTGCCCCTTTCCAAGTCCACTGATAGGGGAGGACCTCCTCCCCTTTCATCTGACCCTGTTTTATCAGGTATCTTCAGGGCTGGCTGCAAAGTCCTCCTCTGTGGCCTAACAGACTGCTCCTTCCCTGGTGGGGGGGAGGGGGGTCAAACAGCCTGCCCTTGAGATCCTGTTAGAAATAGTCCGTGTTCCCCTTGCTTTGGAAAACTACTTGGTTACTGAGCTACCACGGGCCACATCCATTGCTGGTGGGAATGTAAACTGGTTCAACCACTTTGGAAGTCAATCTGGCGCTTTCTCAGACAACTAGGAGTAGTGCTACCTCAAGACCCAGCTATACCACTCCTAGGTATATACCCAAAATTTGCTCAAGTACACAACAAGGACATTTGTTCAACCATGTTCGTAGCAGCTTTATTTGTAATAGCCAGAACTTGGAAACAACCCAGATGTCCATCAACGGAAGAATGGATACAGAAATTGTGGTATTTTTACACAATGGAATACTACTCAGCAATCAAAAAGGAGGAAATCATGAAATTTGCAGGCAAGTGGTAGGATCTAGAAAAGATCATTCTGAGTGAAGTATCCCAGAAGGAGAAAGACAAACTTGGTATATACTCGCTTATATAGACCTACAAGATATGATAAACATAATGAAATCTACACACCTAAAGAAGATAATCAAGAAAGTGGACACAGGCGAGAGCAGTGTAGTTTTTTAAGCTTAATATTTTTTTCTTTTTTTTCTGTGATTCATAAAATTTATTAACTGTAATCCCCTGTAAAATAAAAATAAAAAATCTGATCACATACATCCAACAAATCAGGATATACATTATCATTCCAAAATAGAGAAAAAGAAACATAGTGAGGATATATTGGACCAAATCGAGACCAAAATCAGCTGTTAAAATCTCCAAACTCTGCATCTTCATATCTGATTTTAAAATGTTCTTCAGATCTTTAAGCTTAATTTTTTAACACAGTGTTAAATGCCACTAAATTACTAATCTGTTTTGCTTTTGAATTGGTCTTTTGCTGTTTTGTGTAATGAACTTGGCATTTGTATTTTATTTTAGTTTTGAAAAAGGAATACACTTTTATAGTACTAAAATATGGCTTGGATTTTCCAAACTGTTAATGAAGATCAGGCCACAAATGCCACAAAATTCTAACAAAAAAGAAGAAAACACAAGTACACAATAACAAAAGTAACTTATTATTGTAGCAATTTTGCCAAAAAATATACTAGGAAGTATTACACTCACTCCTGTACATTTTGTCTCCTTTTTTATCCCCACAGACTCTAGAAATAATTAATACTTCCATGTTACTTGAACTTATTCAAGAGGGCTAGGCAATTCTAAACCTTTCTTATTTCAGCCAATGTTTCAATTAATAGTTTGTGCATATGACATTTGATTTTTGTGCTGTTCTTTTGGGAAAATGTATTTCCACAAGTGGGATTGTTACAGTAAATGTAAAATACATTTGTCACTTTATTAAACACACCAAAATTGCCTCATTAGACCAAATGACAAATGAACTTGCCATTTTGTAAAACAGGTTAAAAAATACCTGTTCTATAAATGCATGAAAATGTCCCTTTCTACATCATGGGGATGAAGTATCATGTTGAAACACTGATTTTATAAAATCAATATGCAAAAACCATATGTCAGGATAGTTCAACTTTGTATTCTCTCCCTATGAATAAAGCTGGGTATCTTTTCAGATGTTGATTTAGAGGGTCAGGGAGACTTCAGAGTCAAACTGATCTGGTTGAACATTGGCCAGTCCTGTAGCTAATGCTCAGAGGCAAGTTTGTCGGTAAAATGGTGCCAGATGAGGACTTGTTGAAACTACAGAGCAAATAAAAGGAACTGCCAGAGAAGTGTCTTGCACATGGTAGAGGTTGATTCTTTATAGTGCTCCATGCCTGGCACATAGTAGGGGCTTATTCTTT